TGTGTGTGTGTGTGTATTTCAAATGCCCTGACTGTCAAATGGTCATGTGTTTGTTTGCTCGTACATACTAAGAAAGAATTGGCCAACAGTTCACAATGGATTAAATACAACTAACTGTAACATTTCTGTAAAATTGGCATATTTGATTTAACTGCAGTATTTTTTATAAAGTTGCTATTTATAACAACACTAACACCTCATCCTAAGACCTTTTCTTATATACAGTAAAAAATCATCTGTCCCCTTTAAATAGTGACAAATACAATACAATACATAAAATCCTTAATACTAATATTTTGTGCTTTTGCTTTCTTTTCAGCCAGTGGCTGCTCAAAACAAATGCAAGGAAGACCCAAATGAGTGCCATGGAAATGAAAGCAAAGGTTTTTTTCTTGTATTGTATGAAATTCAACAGATGGCTATCAAAGAATTGATATAGCAGTTACATGTAATGTATTTAGTTGTTGAAAAAGGTCAGTAAATGTATTCAGGCTTTTTGTCTGTCTTAGAGGTGAAAGGGAGTCCTGCCCACTCCACTATGGCTTTGATTGAGGAGGAGCTGGAGGATGCAGACCCATGGGACCTGCCAGAGCTGAAGGACACAGGGGTCCCATGGTCAGGTGAAGACTTGTAATGTCCCTTTGTAACATTTTTACTAGTACAAGTACAGAAGTGTCTTATCCTTCTAGGAACATGTCCTGATTAGATATAGGCCTACGTGGTCAGTGAGTAAAACATTTACATATCTTCTAATGGGTCAGATACTGATAGTATCAGTAATATTGTTTCATAACTACACAGGAGCTGTCAAGTCCACACATAGCTGAACATCACATATTAATACATTCATAGTACAATTTAACAAGTATGAGGGAACTCATTCTTTACAGTACTATAAAAAGTATTCCCCCCACTGGAGGTTTTTGTGTTTAATTCTCTAACAACATCAGATCAAAATAGGTTTAATGTGGCTTTTTTGTGTTCATGACCTCCCAGGTACATGCGTTCACTACAATCATTGTAACCCCTCAACTACACACAAGAAGGGAGTGGATATGTATGCAAACATGTATTTCATATATTTAATTAATGTAAATGTATACATTTTGTATTTTTTACTTTGACTCAGTGTCACAAAAGCCACATTAAATCTATTTTGATTTGATATTGGAAGAAGAAACTTTAAAGAACTTTAAAAGATATATTGTTACAGCAAGAGGTCAATAATAATGTTTATGTACTATATAAAAGGTGGCATTTACTATTAGAATAATCTTTGTTTTATTTGTGTGAAGGACAGTGGATTAAATCTGGGGGTATTCTGTGTAATTAATTTTTCACAGCAGATATTTTAACATGGCATAGCAGAAAAACCTCATGCGTGATTATAAGGGCTTTACCGTTTTCCTACTGTTTTGCTTACTGACATATCCTAAAATGGACCAGAGACATTGTTTATGGTATCAATTATATCTGTGTTTTTTATACAATGCCAAGTTAAATGTCTTTTGTGTTTAGTACCATTAATTTCTTGTCTCTCTCTCAGCTCTGGATACCAGAGGAAAGGTGTTGAGAGTGTTGGTGTCGGTAGGGAAGTTTATCCTGCTGCTGGGTTTCCTCTACATGTTCATCTGCTCTCTCGACATCCTCAGCTCAGCTTTCCAGCTTGTTGGAGGTAAACCCACTGAACATTTGAATGAAGCCATCTTTGGCTGTAATAATGACCCATAAACATGATATTTTGGTTTGTCATAGTAGGAAAAAACATTACATTCAAGTGCTCCAGTGAGTCATGACGATGTGATATAGGGTCAGAATGAACAACAACAGGACCCTGAAACTGAAGCTGAACTTATTTACATCAGTGTTTTTCATACTGTGCATGTCAAAATGTATTCAGTGAAAAGGGCTTATAACTTGGTATCAGTATGGAGCTGCTGTGTCTTCTGAACACACCCTCCACAGAGTGAAGTTTTGAAGGGGGGAAACTGCCCTTTTTTGAATATTTACACGCTCATATGTTGTTCACCTTGTCCAGGTAAAGCAGCAGGTGACATCTTTCAGGATAACTCAGTTTTAGCCAACCCTCTGGCTGGTCTGGTCATTGGTGTTCTGGTCACCCTATTGGTCCAGAGCTCATCTACTTCCTCCTCCATAGTTGTCAGCATGGTCTCCTCTGGACGTGAGTACGAGACTGCACACACACACACACATCCACGCACAGTGTACGTATGCATGAGTGATGATGATGTTGAAGATGTGGAGTAGAGGGAAGACTGATGATGAAGGAGACGTGTGTGCTTTCGCAGTGCTAACAGTCCAGCTGGCTGTTCCCATCATCATGGGCACCAACATCGGTACCTCTGTCACCAACACACTGGTTGCCATGACGCAGGCTGGTGACCGCAGAACCTTTCGCAGGTAATCATTTTGTATTTAACCTGAAGATTTCTCTGACTCCCTTTAACTACAGTTCAGAAAGCCCACAAACTATTCCTCTCAAGAACATCATGATCTGCTGTGAATTACTAGAATATGAGACAATCTACAACAGTATCTATAGTATGATGGTAATCTATCTTTTATGATCTTTTATTGCTGTATTAGTCAAGTTAATACATTGACCTAAAATCATAAAATGATCATAAAATAGACAGAACCTCTTTACACATTGAGTAAGTTATAAAACATACTTTTATCGCAATCTGTGAAGAACATGTACAGCATAAAATTTTATTAGCTCTTATTAGCCCATATACATTATATATATATATACATATATACATTATCTTCAGTATTTAATCTACATAATCAAGTTTATCTGAAAAATACTGTACTACTAATAGTTTTACTTATCTACTTACTTATTATAGGACTTTTCCCAGGACAGCTGTTGCTCCCATTAGAAAGATCAAAGGTTCTTTTACTTTGCATTTATCTACCTCCCTTTACAATGTACCCAGGGCTTTTGCAGGAGCCACAGTGCACGACTTCTTCAACTGGCTCTCAGTGCTGGTGCTGCTGCCACTGGAGGTCGCCAGTGGTTATTTGTACAAGGTCACCAAGCTCATCATCGACTCCTTTAATATTCAGAGTGGAGAGGCCCCGGAACTGTTAAATGTGATCACTGATCCCCTCACTGAGTCAATTATACAGGTAAAATGTCATTTGTGATGATGATGTTATTACTTGCACTTACTTATTACTTTCTTATTACTTATTACTTTCTTATTACTTGCACATCTTTATTGTTAAAATTATGAACAAATGTACTATTTCAATGGTATTTTGCACATGCACAAAGATAAATGTATGAGCATGAAGGCGGGATAGTTCACATCCGCACAGTCACCCCCACATCCCCAACTTTGAAACAAAGTATTTAAATTCATCCACATTTAATTTTTTTTTGCCTATTTATGCAGATTATAGAACAATCTTAAATCTGTATCTATTGGATCTAGTGGAGTCATTTAGCAACATTTTCCATCTTTTTTGTGGCTACTTCTATAGTGTTTTTTTCCATTGGTGTATAGCATAGTGAGATCATTGACGTATACACTGAAAAGCAGTGGTCCTGGACTCAAGCCTTGTGGCACTAGTGCATGGTGCAGGGTTTAAGGGAGGATAATCTATTCTTTATCCTCACACACTGTTGTCAACCACTTAGGTATGATTGAATCTATTTTTGTGCAGCTATGGAATGGTCCTAGTTAGCCTAGTGGTCCTAATTTGTTTAGTAGTATTTGATGCTTTACTGCAGTGGTCCCCATTCTGGGGGTAATTTCACAGGGAATCCAGGCCATTTTAAAGGATGTAAGAAACCTTAAAAATATACACAGTTGGCTTCAGCATTTCTGTTCATTTCTGTGAAGAAAACTGAATGAAATTGTTATTTTACTGGAAGTTCTGATAGTATGTCTGATATAGTACACAATACACACAGATAATTGTAAAAAAATATCATTAAAACTTATCTCTGATCAATATTCACAAGAAATAACTAATAATTCAAGGAAGTAGCAGCGTGCCAATTCAGTTGAATGTTTTTTTCTGAATACAAATTGCAAAGGTGCATACGGGCTTTGGAATCAGGGTTTGCAATCAGTTGTTCTGCTACAATCTTGAGTGTACTGTACATTTGTTTGTGTTATCTATACTGGTCAATACTGAATTTCTTCTACCTTAAAACCAATAAATTAATACTGATGTGATACATGTCTCCATGAAGCAGTATTAGACACATTTTCTGGAAGTTTAATTTTAATATTTGAAATTCTGTTTCTTAAAAAACATTATTATCTTCACTATGGTTGACATTCCTCTTTCCCTCTGACTTAGTTGGATGAGTCTGTCATTAGTGGGATTGCCACCGGAGACCCAGAAGCCAGAAATAAGAGTCTCATCAAGAAATGGTGCCAAACTTTCACCAACACAGTAAGACCAAAGCACGCCAGCTACATACCAAACATTTAAAAACATCCAATATTCAAATTTATATTGTCAAACTGCTCCTGTGTTTCAGACCTTAATGAATGTTACAGTTCCTGGTCCAGAGAACTGCACATCTCCGTCTCTCTGCTGGGTTGATGGCAACTACACCTTTACATTGAAAAACATTTCTGAAACATACAATATCGAGAAATGTAAGACCAATGTGAACTGCAGAAACCGTTATCTGTAAGTAAATATAGCATATACTTAATCTATACATGCTTCTGTGTGTCTGCAGGTAAGCATGCCTTTGTGAATGTGAATCTGCCGGATCTAGCAATAGGTCTGATCCTGCTGGCTCTTTCTCTGCTCGTGCTCTGCTCCTGCCTGGTCCTCATCGTCAAACTGCTAAACTCCATGCTGAAGGGACAAGTGGCTGCAGTCATCAAGAAGATCCTTAACACTGGTGAGCAGCACCACACACTTTATATTCAAGTGTCATAAATGTAAATGTGATTGCACTGGTTAGTAATACATGAATGTTGTAATTTTGTGTGTATGTTTGTGTTTGCAGATTTCCCGTTTCCATTTGGTTGGGTCACAGGTTACATTGCCATTTTAGTTGGAGCAGGAATGACCTTCATTGTGCAGAGCAGTTCGGTTTTCACTTCTGCTATTACTCCACTTGTTGGTGAGAACATCCATCCATCCATTTCATTCATCATCAAAATATATGTACCATTTTCCAATTGAAAGAAATTATTTACACTTGCTTGTTGTCCTGATCTGTTGTTTTGGATTTCTCATTATCAAGACTAATAAATGTATCTGATTTTATGGTAAAACAGGAAGAACATAGGAAGTGATGGCAGAGAAACAGAGAGAGAGGGTTGGAAAATATGTATTTTTACCAGCGTCCTGTTTGTTTGAATAGGTATTGGTGTCATCAGCATAGAAAGAGCATACCCATTGTCTCTGGGTTCAAATATCGGCACAACCACCACAGCTATCCTGGCAGCTATGGCTAGTCCTGGAGACACACTGGCTAATGCTCTACAGGTCAGTAATTCACACAAAAAACATACCCATATGACCAGAAAGAATTAGATACATAGATAAGATTTAACAGCTGGTCTGCTGTCCACTGAAAATTATTTAGCATTTACCTTTAATTAAAATATATAAAATAGTATGTAATAGTATCCAATTTTTGATTTTATGGGGAGAAAAACAATGACTGAAGCACAGCAATAAAGTTTGTTGATGATTGCTCCAGATTGCCCTCGTGCACTTCCTGTTCAACATCTCTGGCATCCTTCTGTGGTATCCAATCCCCTTCACCCGCATCCCTATCCGGCTGGCTAAAGGCCTGGGTGACATTACCGCTTCCTACCGCTGGTTTGCTGCTGTCTACATCATCTGCTGCTTCTTCATTTTACCACTATTCGTCTTCAGCCTGTCGCTGGCTGGCTGGCAGGTACTGGTAGGTGTGGGTGCACCTCTGGTCCTCATTATTATCATCATCATAGTGATCAACGTACTGCAGAAGTGGAGACCCGGGTGTCTGCCTGCAGCCCTGAGATCCTGGGACTTCCTGCCTCTCTGGGCCCACTCTCTGGCTCCCTGGGACAAAGTGGTTGCTCTGATGACAGCCAAATGCTGTTGCTGCTGCAAATGCTGCCAGGTGGCTTCTGACAACCAGGAACACGGAGAGAAAGAATCTGTGGAACAAAACAATAAAGCACACACAGAGGTGTATGATAACCCTGCAATGAGTGCAGAGAAGGAGGTAGAAAATGAGATAAAGATAGAGCTAAAGATTCTGAAAATGACCCAGCTTTGAGATTTTATATGTGTGACGGTGCAAAGAATTGCATTGGTCAAGGCACAAACACATTTAGGCACAACTTTCAAATTTCCATCATATTTATGTTATTATTTTTATTAGATCCTTTAGTGTAAGATAGGAAATGGTTATATAGAGAACATCAACTTTCAGCGTATCAAGAGCCAGACAAAGAAAATACCACATGCAGGAAAGTGTTGGTCTTTTAACTGTATGGTTCTAACTGACAATGCATCGGTCTCTTATCTCTAATCTCTTACTACTTTCTGACTTTCTTTCTGTTCCTTTTAAGCTTCAAACCAATTGGCTCCTGCTGAAGATGTAAATCTTGAAAACGCCTCACAATTATTTATATTATAGTTTTTTATAGTTTAAATTTCAAAAATAATTCACTAAAACAGCCAGGCGCTGTAGTTTTTAGCAAACATTACTCGAACAGAAGGAAATAGTGCATTTGTTAGGGAATATTTAAAATTATTTATGCAGATTAACACTATTCTAGTGAGTATTTCTGGGATTGACAAATTATAGTGGCTCATTAATCTATTATTTTATGTTTATTGTTCAGTACTAAGACAGAGAATTGTGTGCACAAGTGTATTTAATAAGATATTGTTTATTGATTGCAACCAAAGTAAATTATTTTTAGTGACGTTACCCAGCCTCACTAATTAGCAAATGTCAGCATGCTAACACTCTAAACTTGTGAACATAGTAAACATCAACGACATGATGTTAGCAAATGTTACCATTATCATTATGAACATGTTTGAAAGCTAATGTTAGCATTTCTCTCAAACCACCATGCTGCTAGTAAAAAAAAGTCTTAGACAACAGTAGAGCTCTTTCTCACTGAGGAATAATCAGGCTTTGTCTACATAGTCGACAGCGAGAGAAATATATCACCAGTCTTATCCTCTAATTTTTGAGTTTCTAACTTTAGCTCTGATTGGCTGAACAAACTGCCACTTATATAGCATAAAATGATAAATTCCTATTTCAAATTGTACCAATCTGGTTATTGGACTTTATCTTATAATGCAATTACTAAAATGATTAGGTATTTAATCTGATATTGAAGAAAGTCAATAACCGACCATCATTATCAACAGTTATTAAAAGAGCAGAGCAATACCAACCTCGGTGGCTGCATTTGGTCAGCCAGTGCTGTTTAATTGTGTTATTCTGTTATACTGTGAAAACTCCTGCAGATGCCATGAAATTTGGGCACTATTATACAATAGATACAGTCTGTCCTGGTCTGACCTGCAGATTGCAGGTTTGATTTGATAGACAGAAAAACAAATACTCATCATGTTTCACATTTCTATCAGGTTTCACCTTTTGTTTTTTACAGAGATTTTTTTTAAAACTGTGTATAAAAGACACATTGAGATCCTTACCACATCGTTTTAAGGTGTAAAAATGATTTTGTAATTAAGGATAATTCTATTCAAGGAATATGTAGTTCAGCATTAGATGGATGTTCATCTAACTAAATATTTTTAACTTGCTAATGTTAAATGTTAAATGTTAAAGTTTTGAGTTGTATACTGTGTCTCAATAATACCTATATGAACGTTTAAAAATAAAAGATGAAAAATCATACCTTATTGAAGGATTCATTTTTTTATTAAATTATTATTATCATTATATTTAAGTATCTGGAGCAAGATAAGATAAGATATACTTTATTAATCCCCGATGAGGAAATTGTATGTTTACAAACATATAGGCCTGAAATAAATCATGCACACACAGGGCTGCAAATGAGATGGTGAGCGATGGGCTGCCACCTAGCAGCGCTCTGGGAACAGTTTGGTGGTTTGGTGCCTTGCTCAAGGGCAAGTCGGCAGTGCACAGGAGGTGGAACTGGCACCTCTCCAGCTACCAGTCCACACTGTGGTCTGTGCTGAACCGGCAGGCTTCCGGTTCCCAAGCCAAGTCCCTACAGACTGAGCTACTGCCGCCCCACACAGCCAGTGTCCAGGAAACTGTTGAGCGTTATACTGTCACATGTCAGTAAACCATGTGCAAAGAACATGAGATGGATTATCAATATGTCAATATCGAGGGCGCACAACTGTGCCAAAGCTCACTAATAACCACGAGACACATTCCACATGGCTGCCTGACACTCACTCAAAGTAACAGTAAAGTACATTAGTACATTTACTCAAGTACATTTTTTAGGTATTAGGTGAGGTGCTTTATTTTAGCATTATTTTTTAATTAAGTTTTCTTTTCAAATTTAATAAAACTATAAATACTTTATTTTATAGTTTATATTTACTAACTTTTAAGATTAAGATTTGACATAAAACAACATATGATAAGCTTATAAAATAGCGTACAATGCATCATTATATATTAAACCAGTGTTTCCAAACCTTTTTCTTTATGTTTTACAAAAAAGCAGTGTCTGTTAGCAGGGACCTGTTGCTTCAGATGTCTGTGAGTTGTTAGCAGTTATTTCAAGAGATATTTCTCACATGGTTTATTTTGAATAAGAAATTCCCCAATGTCCAAAACATGAAAACAAATGTGTGTTGCATAACTTAGTTTTTTCTTCATCCTGGTCTCTTTTATCTTCTCATGACCCCTCAGGTTTATCTTGTGACCCTTTGGAGGAGGTCTGACCCCTTGGTTGGAAACCACCTAACTTTAATTAAAACTAGCTCCACCTAGCTATAACAATAAAATGTTACTTAGGCACTGATTTATCAGGACTAACTATAAGAAGATGTAATATATTGTATAATAATATATCAGTCCCAGGAGCCATTTTTCTGCTGAAAAACTACTTTTATTATTGATACTTTAAATATGTTACTTGTAAACCTTCTGTACTTTTACTTAAGTAGGTTAGTGAATGTAAGACTTTAACTTGTGATTGAGTACTTTTACATTTTTGCATTGGCACTTTAAGTAGAATAAAAGATCTGAATACTTATTCCACCACTGCTTGTTTCAAACTAGTGTTTTACCAAACCAGGTTGATTCATCAAACCTAAGTACAGAAGCCAGTGCTTGTATTTTTTTTAATGACAGTATCTTGTGATTACAAGTTAATTATTTCATTATACCAAGAAAACAAGCTCTGTTATCTAGAAATAATGAGATAATTAACCTGTTATCACAAGAATACAAAAGGTCGTTTCCTCATATTACTCACAATGTTTATCAAAGTTCAGGAGTGCCATGACAGCATGCACAGAGGGTGTATTATAGATGTAGCATTGGTTCAACATAATGGAGGGTGCCAGAAGAAAAAAAGAAAAAAAGGAATTAGGCCATTGCAGAGAATTTTGAGCTCATCTAATAGATGTCCCCTGATATATTTTGTTAATTAAATTCATTTGTGTAACATCTCTTATCAGGTCAGTTTTGAATCTTCCCCGACAGTCATGACAGTGATCTTGAAGACTGAAATTAAGAAAATTAACAAAAACATAATTTAGCTAGCTGTATCTCTACATAAGAACTAGTTTGAATGGTGCAACCAGTTTTAATTTAGTCAATGCCTGACCCTCCACTTGGTCAACACTCATTGTAAGGTTGAACTTAAGAAGAACTCTGTGTGTATGCAGAGACAATCAAGAGAGGATGGTCTTTTTCTGCCCTTTCTGTTAATGATAAAACAGTGCACAGGCACATTGTGCTCATCCACGGGCCACATGGTGTCTCAGCACATGACAGGGTGTGTCATAGTTATAACATCACCAGTCACTGATTGAGCTGACGGCGCTCCTTTTGATCAGGCTTGCTTCTTATCTGTGCTCAAACCATAGCTGTTTTCATACTTTTCATAATGAAACCACTCTCCTCCATCTTCTCCCATGTTATTGTTTGTTCCCTCTTAACTAAATGAAATTTGCTCCGTGGTTTAATTTAAGCTTTAATTAAGGCAAAGCGTAGACTAGTAGGAGCATAATAAACAGGTAGCACAAATCCTCTCCACTATATCATATTTATTCCCCCATGGTATTACATTGAAACATCCTGATATGTCTGTCTTTTCAGCTCTGAAAATTACAACTAAACTACTGCACTTTTGCTTCATCAGACATCCACCAATATGAATTAAAAAAAAATAAAGAAGAAAAAATTCATACACATTTGCTTCCAACATGCTCCAGTTTGCAACATCAAATAACTATAATGTTGTTAAAATCATCTTATTACACAGTGTCTGGCAGTATTTTGTATCAGCTTGTTTCAACTCTTGATTAAAGCTATATATTCAAACTCAAGACTCCATCATTTTACACATTTTCTGCAAAATTCATTCAGCTTTATGTATCTGGTATCTTTGGAAATCCAAACAATGAGCTCTGTAGTAGAACGTCTGCAGGTTTTGCTGCACTGCAAGAGTTTGCCTATCAGTGTGAACTGATACAGCAATATTATAAATGTATGTCAGAATGATATTATGTATTTGTCTTGGCAGTGAACTTTCAGGTCATGTGACTCATGTCCAGCTCTAACATGCCTTTACCACATACCAAGAAGAGATTAAATAGTCTCCCCAGCTGTTTAAGTGTTTTCATGTATTCCAATTTAATACTGGATTAAGTCCTGATTTGTGGACCAAAACGTCTGTTAGAACTTCTGCTCAAATCTGTGACGGATCAATGCTGTCATCTAGTGGCAAATATGAAAGCAGCAGTACCACAGAAGAGTTATAGACTGCCAGTGATGATGTGTTGTCTACAATAGAATGTATTTTAGCCAGCATTAAAACAGCTATATTCAATATATATATATATATATATATATATATTAACAATGGATTACATGACTACTTGTTTAAGGTGTCACTCGTAGAGAGGACCCCATAGTATATTCTAATTCTGCCATTCATTTCAACTCTGATTGACTTCTTGAATCTTGTAGCTTGTTGCTTTGGTTGTAATTTAGTGTTTTGTGGTTCACTCTCACAATTCTCATTGTGTGGTTTTCGACTGCAGAAGGCAGCAGTTTTCTACCTGCCCTGATTGACTTTGTGAACACAGTGGAGAATTTAGCAGCTAAAGAGCTATCTCTAGTTTGTGTCTCTTGTGTTTTAGCATTAATTCAGGTCACCGTACCATCGGTTTCTCTAAAGAATAATTAAGAAGTGATGTTTAAAAAACCCCGAAGGTTGTCTAAAAAACACTGTTGTTCTGAAGGTAATTCTAGAAGACCCTTCTAAACTCTGGATGAACAAATATTCTGTCCTCTGAATGATAAAAATATTTTTTTAACTTGTTTCCCAGTTGCGTCTCTATTGCAGAACTGAAATAAAGATGGCGGGCTGTCAACCGCCTGGATAGGAAACAGAGTCGCAACTTTCATATCCACATCCAGGTGTGTAAATAAGTTTGCTAAGAAGTGCGCAATATCAAATTTATAAGATGACACTATGTTGTTTACAGCTTATTTCCACTGCCCCCAAGTGGCCCCAAAAATCTGTTACTGTAGATTTAAAGGTAAAATGTCATTCCTTACATCAGGGGCTACCATCAAAACATATTTAGTGAGGACAAAACAACAATTGGACAAAACAAAATAATTTATTTCTTTCAAAACCCAGAGGCAATTTGTGGTTACAGTCATTACAGTTAACTGATGTGCATCTTACACACACTGTACACTACCACTACCACTATCAATACGCTACTACTAAAACTACAGTATCTCTAAGATCTCATTACTCCATCCACTACTTACTAGAACTACTACTTCTAGTTAAAGTAAGACTAAAGCACAAAATAAAAACATCAATACATTAACATAAAATACATTTGCACTTGTAGCACCATTCATTTTATTATACTATAGACGTGAAGAATAATTTAATCTTGTGTGGGCTACTACATACTTCACAGGCTTGTGTTTCCATGTGCCTCTCTCTGAAAGCCTGGAGGAGGCCTTTTCATATAAGACCACTAAAGCTGGTCACTTGTGCAAGAAATTGTGCCTAAAAAAAAAAATCTCGATCTAGCATCATAACATGGGCCAATTTTCTTTCTTTTTTTGGTGACTGTCTGCTCCTTTAGATGAATTCAGGGGAGTTGTTCTACTACAAAATGAGAAAAAGAAAACAGTTCCCATGTGGATGAAAGATGAGTCTTTAACTTAGAAGGGGACGGGTCCATAGTGGGCAGTGTATGCGGCGACGATGCCTGCAGTTTCAGCCATCTCGTCACAGGCGATGCTCAACTCACACACCTCTCTCAGGCTGGATGGCAGAGGAGAGAAAACTGGTTAGAAGGCTTGTAACATTTTAGCGCAAAAAGAACAAAACATAAAATTATTATTTTACCTTTGGTTAGAACTTTGCAGCAAGGAATTGTCTACAGCTAATACAACATGCAATGTGCATTGTTGTTTGATTTAGTTTCATCCAATTCAAGTAAATAATTGTACCTTTCCATCTGCAGAGGGGTGAGGTCTCCTGCTGGGGCAGCTCTTCTTCTCCTCAGGAGAACAGAAGCCAGGTCTCTCTTCACAACCACCTGAGCTGCTGTGGAGACAAACATCACAAACTCAGACTTTCTTGAATTGTCTTTACAGTTTAAGTAAGTGTAAAACTGTACAGAGATTCTTTCTGGAAACAAAAACGTTACATACCCTCAGTGCTAGCTGACTCTGATGAAGACGAGGAGGAGGATGAGGAAGAAGAGGAAGAATCAGAGGCAGAAGAGTCGGAGGCGGAGTTGGACTCAGAAGAGGAGGATGAGGAAGAGGAGGAGGACTCAGAGGAAGAAGATTCAGAAGACTCAGAAGACTCAGAAGACTCAGAAGATTCAGATGAAGAGGATGAAGAGGATGAGGAGGAAGAGGACGATGAGGAATCAGAGCTGGAGTTGGAATCAGAGCTGGAGTTGGAATCAGAGCTGGAGTTGGAGTCAGATGCTGAAGAGTCCGAGGAAGAGTTGGAGTCAGATGCAGAGGATGAATCAGATTCGGAGCTGGAGGAAGAGGATGAGGATGAAGATGAGGCATCGGGGGCCGCTGGGTCAGCAGCCGCGGGGTCAGCAGGTGCAGCTTCGGCAGCTGTGTCGGCAGCAGGGTCCACGACAACCTCCGGTTCAACCGCTGAGGATCACAGAAAATAACACTTTTGTATACATACTCTAGCTGCTTTCATGGCTCCAAATAGCACAGAGGACAATATTGGGCATTAAAGCAATGAGATGGGTTTGTCCTTACCTCCCATGGACCAGCACACAGACAGCAGAGCACAGATGGAGAGGAGAGCCAGAGTCTTCATGATGCCTTGTAGTTGGTGTCTCGCTGTAGACAAGTTGCTTTGATTGCTTGCTTTTCTTAGCTTTCCTTCGAAGGCTTGTTCTGTCTCTTTGCCCCAGTTCGAGGTCAATATATACTGTAGTCCACCTCCCATGTCAGACCAGACCCACACAGATAACCCTCTGATTGGCTGGGGAATCAAATGTCAACGTTTCCGCTTCCACTTGTCATGAAAGCTCCCACAAACACCCACGCAACCCTGGCACAAGAGTCCAAGAACTCATTCACCCGCACACAATCTTACACGGCCACAAACATTCCTGGCATTCAACTGTACGTACAGTGCGTGTGCTGTATGTTAACCTATATGCATGTATGTGTGTAAGTTTTCACTTGACATCAAGGCCAGTCTAAGACAAACAGAGTGACATAAGAAAAGTGTAACTGTACACTTCAGGGGATTCCCCTTCTCCATGATACACATGCATACACACAAACATGCACACTATTTTACCTTTCAATTTAAACAACCCATGCGACCCACAGATAAATGTCCAACTGAATTACTGAATTGACATCTTAAAATTGGCTCTCTTTCTGGCTTTTGGGTAAACTGAACTGCATGTTTCTTATAGTTTCTCCAACAAAAATGCCATCATTTCCCTGTCAATCATTTTCTGAGGTCAAACCAAATCATTTTTATACTCGTGTTGTTTACCAATCCCGGACATCCCCTTCAAGTTCCTCTCAATCTTCACCCCTCATCACTGGGGTATAAATAATACAACAAAACCCCTGAAACTCCAAACCAGTGGTGTTACATATCTCTATAAAATTCCCTTAAAATGTGATTGGATTTTAATCAAGGAGACCCGCTGCAGGGTTGCCTCTTTAACATCAAGGTTGCCAGTTCTGCCATTGCTGTTATGTTACTATACTCCTTGCCCCAGATGTGATCTCCCACCCCCACAAACCTCAAACTATAGCCTGAGCCGACCACAAGCTACTAATCGAGTGACACGGAACAGCAGTGAGCCTCATTATGCGACAGAGCTTAATTAGAGTGTTGCAGAGTCCCACCAGAACCGCAGTCAGTCACTATTTACAGATCCATCTTGGTCCAGCTCCTGGCCAGATCCAGGCACGGCCATGGCTTACCAACGGCAACAAGTGGCCCAATATGCAGCCTTGCTTGTTGTATTTCAGCATATATAGAGCTAAATATAGGCAACCCCCATGTGCTCGATGCACGGCGTTATGCATGCGGGTTTGGATGCAGTTTTCTGTTTGTGCGATAAAGTTGAAGTGTGGCTTCAGCTGTGGTTTATCATAAAAAAAAAAGGTATTTTGGGGACCTAAACCATATTGCAATTTAAATACTGTCTAGATAATCAAACATTTATGCACACATATCACTTCACATATATATATCTCAGAGGGCCCCCAAACAGCTTCATCTATCATGTAGTGAGAAATCAAGTGCTGCTGCAGGGTGACCTTGGTGTCCTTCGTGTTTCATAGTCTAGCGTTATTCCTGGTGTCAGGGATTTGTCTTGGAACGCGTGCCGTGTAATTTCAATGTCTGGTCTAGTGTCCATTTTTGTGGATGCATTTCAGTGCGTGGGGGACACAGTTGGAGAAAACAATTGCCACAGCATCTAGGCAGGAAATATAATGTCAAGGGCATTTCTGCTTTGTTGTTTGGATTTTAAGTTGTTGTTTTTTACTGGTCTGGTTTTACACATTTCCTGTCTGTGCAGCAGACAAGTGGAAAACTTAACATGCACAGGTGCACACATACTGTATGACAGACGCTATCAACTCACATCAGTAAAAAAGACCTTATCTTCTCAGATGATCTGTTATCTTCACAGTTCAAATCAGATACTGTGTTTATTGACGGGAGAGAACACATTAAACCTGTTTTTTAAGTTACACTCGTTCACTGTCAGTTTCCACGTTGATTTTTAAAGTCTTGTACTGGCACGAGTCTTGAAGTTGTCCCAAAGTGCAGGACAGAACCCTTTGGTGAGGCAGCTTTTTGTTTTTATGCTCCGAGCTGTTGGGACAGCCTGCCAAAGGATCAGAGAGAGAGACTGTTTTTAAATGTCTTTAAACTTTAAGCCTTTAGCCTTGCTTTTGATTAGAATGTTTTATGACCATAATTTAAATTTTATTTAATTATTTGTTTTATTGCATTATTTAAAAATGCTTATATATCTTGCTTGTTATTGTCTTTTGTCTGTTTGATTGGTTTTGTTATTTCTTTTTCATCATTTCTGTTTCTCATGTGCATTAATCTCAAATTGTTTTACAGCTTATTAAGTTTTTTTTTGAATATATATAATGTATATAGTACATATATAATATATATACATAGTAAATATACATATATATATATATATATATATATATATATTGGTGAACCAGTGTGACACACATAAAAAAGAACATAGTGGACAGACAATAAGACAATTATATACATACTGAGATGATAAAAGGTAGGTGTTGGTAGCGTGGGTGTATGTGTTTGGGAGTTAGCGTGTGGAGTTAAGAGAATTGCATGTGTTGTGGAGAAAAAGATAGAGATGTTAATGTTGTATTGATGATAAAAATTCTATATTCTATATTCTATAACATAATAACAATATAATACAATAATAATCAGTATTGCATTTGTAGAGTTTGTTTTAAAGTTTGTTCATTTGTGTATGTGTGTGTGTGTGTGTGTGTTTTCTTTTTCAGTCATTTAATAATTGTTTATTATTATACAAATCTATTTAATTCTTATTTATCACACATTGCTTCCCTTCTTTCCCAAAACAGGTGAGATGAAATGAAATGACCTTGAGATGTCATATCTGGAGATGACCCTGGACATCAGACCAAACAGTCTAAGCTTTTAAAGAAACAGCAGGTTTATCATCACTGCTAAATGGGCACTACAGCACCGAATCTACACGGTGTATAACTGGAGGCACTTTAAATGTCGAAGGATGTTCATTGTAAATTGTCCTCTTTTGTCCCTGCCAGCTTTGCTCCAGTCGCATGATACACATGCAGCATATCATTGCAACAAACAACCTTTAAATGACCAGTTACAGGCGTCGGTGTGCTTTTAGACTTTTCTTTTTAAACCATTACCTCACTGTGCGTGTGGATGCTCGTAACTCAGAGAGAACATCTCGTGTTGTAGGTAAGAGTTCGTTACCCCAGAAAGGTGTGAGGGTCTGATGGGAACGGTGTTGTAACAGTTAGATGTTTGATTTTGTATTTACGTACGTAAATAAATATAATGCAGCATCTCATGTTTGGATATACAAATCAGTGCAGAGGTGTTTTACTGGACCCAAATATTTCCTATATATTGTTGCAGTCAGTGCAAAAAATAATCTTCTGATGTACAAATTGTGTAAAACCCAGGAAAGAGATCTACTGTGTGCTACTCTGTGCTTAGTGGACTGATAACAGGTAGAACAAAAAACCTGTGTTTGTTCTTGGTTCTGTTGTAAACACAGGGTCAGATCACCTGCAGGACCAGAAACCTTTTCCTGTAGTTGTATCTCATTGAGAACAGTGATAGGTTTGAGTCACAAAACAGCTATTTAACAGTACTGAACTATACAGAATTTTCTGTCAAATGCATCAGGCTGACCTTATGGAAGGATAACCGGACAACATCACATGAAATTTAAAAAGTTTGATGTGTTCTGAGAAGACGTAGAGTATACTTATTGCTTACTTATTAGAGACTAGTCTTACTTAGAGAGCAGTTTTAGATGAAGATTTATGAGGTTTCCAAGGGACTGTAAGAGCCAAGTTACTGCTCAGTTTAGACCAACAGGACCGTGAGAGCTCCTCCAGAGATCTTTGCTTGTGTTTTGGAGAACAGAGACTTTTCTGCTTAGTTTGAGCCACAAAGGAGTAGAGTTACTTCATATGTGACATGTTATGAGACACTAACAGAATGGTCCCTGTCAGTGTTTTTTGTATTAATATTACTGGTTCATTAATATGTATGCTGTATTTTACTGCTGTAGATGTTTAGGGTTGAGCTAATATTGACTACTTTATATAATCTACAGTAAAGCATCATGTTCTATAAGATCATCATATGTTTGTATCATTGCTCTCCTGTGAGAACCACTTAAATCTAAAAAGTCAGATTTTCTCAAACAGACCCCTTTTCAGCTTGTGACATTTACCAGCTAATACAGTTTAAATATTTTATTTAGCTTAAGAAGTAGGAGAACTGTTGCATCCCATGAAGGACCACTTAACCCTTCACTTTATCAGAAAAATGAAAAATCACAAAATTTGGACATACATGGTTTTAACTGGAGTACAAGTAGAAAGTTGCATAAAATGGAAATACTTAAAGGTCCATTGTGTAACATTTAGGAGGATCGTTTGGCAGAAATTGCATGTAATATTCATGAATGTAATATAAAGTCATATTGTAGCATCATAGCTAAGATATGACCCATCGTGGGGAGCAGAAGACTTAAACACTACTTTCATATCAGTGATATATTGTAAAAAGTTTGCACAAATAAATACAAACCCCATAAAGTAATCCTAGTGTCTCTAGAACCACCACAGTACATTATGTAAAAGCATGACTACTGTCCTTCTGCTGCATTACTGTCTTTACTGTGTACCAGTATCAGTTCAAAAAGGGCATCAGAAAATCTCTGACAACCATTTCTTACCTTGTACAAATGGCGACAGCACGGTAAATCTGTGTTTTTGAATTGAATGTTTCAGATTAAACACATTGTTGTGCTGCTGATCATCAGCGTCTCCCACCTGGATCCAGAACTATTTGGTTATAGAATTTCTTGGAATACAGAATCCAAACTATAGCAGGCTATAGTGTCCACTAACTGTACTGTATATTAATAATGTGAACACAAAAGCAGCTATTTCACATTACTTTGTTGTTTCTATCACCATTTCATCAGACAGGATTGTTTATGATCATAAACTTTAATATTTAGTATACTGGAAATAGCATCAAATAGAGATCTGAGTAGTTGAACATGATTTGAGATCAGAAGCCTTACTTGTTTATTCAAATCACAATATGTTAATAAACAACACACAGATATTAGTCACCATATTTTTTCTGGTATGAGCTTACAATGTTTTCAGTTGTTATCTTACAGTTTACCTTGATGATAAAGACACACTTCCCCCCACAGACCCCCATCAGTGCTTTATGTAACACTGTCTCGATTGCAGCCGTAAACAAACTCAGATGGATATTTCCATCTGGTCTCTGAGAAACGTCCACCTGCCAGGCTTTCCCAATTCCGCCGGATGCACCCGCTTGGCAATACGACACCACTAATTATACTGATCCCAGACTGGGCCTTGAAATTCCCTTCTAGCTTGAGAGAATATTTTTGGGACAAGCCCAAACTTTTTCACTCTTGATGTCTGCAGCCCATCTGTTGTTCTTTTATAGAGCTTTTATAGCCTTTATTGCTAAATACTCTCTCTTTTATCCTTATTTAGAGTCCGATATGTCTTTGACTCAAACCTCTTAAACTTCATTTTGAATTTGATGCCCTGTTTTTCAAGTGTTGCTGCCTCTGTGATTCCTCATCGGAGGTTCTCATGTTAGTTTATCCTGTGCAGATGATGTTTTCCACTTTTCTATCCAGGATGAATCATATGAAAAATGACTGCGTTTTGACTGCCATATCTTCCCCGTCTGCTCTCTGTCACTCTCTCTGAGGTCGGTGTGTTGTGGTTCTGACAATAACTTTAGTGGACAGACTAACAAACTCCGCCAGATCTCTGCGACTTGTGGCTAGTGACCTGTGGTCTGCTCACCAGACCGCAGACGGGCTCACACTCGCGTAAACAGACAAAACATAACAGACACGGGTAAATAAGTGAGGACACATGATATACACACGCACACATGCAAATGTTCACTTTGCATAGTTTCCTTTGTGTTGGAAAGAAGAAACAGTCTAACACACAGCCAAATTCAAAAAAAGAAATCATTTGCACCAGACACTCTTTTTTCATCTTATTTAATATACATATAAATTCATTTACACTCCTTCTATGGGTCCTAGAGCTCTGTTTTGGCCTCCGCTCCTGCCTGCTTCACCTCCTGAAAAACATAAACATGTGACAAGTACAATACAGCATAGAGGGAATATCAAGTTCGTTTCACAGACACAGACATAAAAAAAATCTACAACTGAAATGAATTTTCAAAATTCACAAAAGAAATGCCTTTATGAAGGCATGACAACAACACTGGTGCATTATGGGATGTTATTTAATCTTTTTTGGCTGTCTCTAGTCTGTAGTTTTATCTGTCAAAATGTTAAATTATGTAATTTGTAAAAAAAAAACTGGAATAACACATCTAAGGATATAGAGCTGTGCAGATTGTAAAACCCTTTGAGGCAAATTTTAATTTATAAACCATATTTTCCAGGTATACATCAGGGTCCTGGGACTATAAAGAAGAATGTTACAGTCGCTTGGCAATACGACACCACTAATTATACTGATCCCAGACTGGGCCTTGAAATTCCCTTCTAGCTTGAGAGAATATTTAGAATATTTGAATATTTAGAATATTTGAATATTTAGTAGAAAGCTAAAATGAAAATTTTTAAGAAATTGTAATTGACTCTGATATAAATGTACAAAACTGCAGCTTCAAGCTTGAAATTGTTTGTGTTTTTGTTGATAAACCTGAAGAAGATATTTTAAAAATCTGTCCATTAATTATTAATTATCAGTTAAATCATTCCTTGTATATAACATAAAACTCCGGTTTACCTTGTACTGCATTGTGCATTACAATCTGATTTAGTGCAGTTAGTTAAAGTAGTTCATGTTAGATGCCATCTATCTATATATTATATGTTGATATTCTGGCACTAACTCTTGTTGTGGAGCCTCAGACTCTGTGTCACACCCAGCTGGAGCTCTGCGTGGTGTAACAGAGCAAATTAGTGCACAGATTGAGGTTTCCTGTCTGTTGTGTGGCACGTATACTTTACAGCACTTTACAGGGCTTTCATTCTTGTTGTGCAGTGCTTGTGTGCTTCAAACTCACTGCCACTTTGTTTTCTGACACTTTTGACAACTTGACAGGTGAACGAGTGAGGTAGGTACATGTTACAAGAAAATAGGTACGCTATACAATGAGAAGCATTTAAATTTTAACCAGATGTTGTAGCTACCAGTCTAGTCATCAGCATTAGGATCAACTATCATGGCTGCTCACCTTCAGTTCCCCTTGTAGAAAGGACTGGCAGAAGTCCTGGACCCGTTCAGTTGAAATCTCTCCCTCTGGAAGGAGCCACTTCATGTCAGAGTCACCGTCATAAATACCAACTCGTGGGAGGTCCTGAGACTTGAGGCCGAAGTATCCCAGTGACCGGGAGTTGGACTTAACTGCTCCATTAATCAGCACAAACAAGAACTGGAACACAGTTTTCATGACTTAATTTAGCTCATAGATTAGCTCAAATAACCACAGAAATGTTCAATCACTTGGTTACATTTGTGGCAGTTATGTTCTCACCTTTCCTGTGAACTCCGGGGCCAAAGCTCCCAGTCGCTCCTGTAGCTCACTATATTCTTTAGTCCCTCTATTGGCAAAGAGCAGGAGGTGTGACTTCACCTCTGAGTTGAACAGGCCCACTGCAGTCTGAGCAGAATACAAAGAATGAAGCTTAAGATGGAAGAAGTTTGGAAGAAATCTCCTTTGTCAGAGGCCTCTCATCTGACAAGATCTAACAGGTTCTATTCAACTTATAAGTTATATAATGTGTTTTTTACTCTTTTTGCTGACATTTGTGTGTCTATTTACTGTTCCTGTATTAATCCTGCTCACCCTGTTTATATAATATGTAAGTTTATATTCTTACTCTGAATAATGTGTATTGTTTACAAGGGGTGCTAAGATAAGATAAGATAAGATAAGATAAGATAAGATACAATACGATACAATACGATAAGATAAGATAAGATAAGATAAGGTAGAACTGTATTTGTCCTCAAAACAAGATAGATTTGCATTCTCTTGTTTTGAGAGAGTGCATATGTAAAATATAAAAATATGAATAAGGTGCAAATCTAAATATATACACAACACCAAAAAAAAAAAAAAGGAAACAGGAAGGACAGTATGAAACTATTTAGGTAATACATTTTTCTTCTACACTACAATATCAGGTGTATGTCTTTAATAAAGGAGGTTAAAAGGGATGTTGGAGTGGTGGCTGAACAGGAATGTTAGAAATGTTGGTTTTTACTCATTTTTCATTTGTCTTATAAAAATATATTTCTAAAACGAAAGAAGTGAAGCTTTAAGGGATAAATGACAGGAAAAGAATAACAGTCTGACAGACAGATGAAACATTTACATGATAGTGACAGTGAGACATGAGTGGAACCTACCACTTGGTTGTATTCTGTGATGTATCGGACCTCGTTGATCGTGATGAAGTTCACAAGACCGTCAGCGTCTAACTTCTTGGCCTCTGCAAGAGCAAGGTTTTCCTGGTGGTTATCGGCCTGGATCACATAACACACAACATCAACACTGTCATTATCATAAAAGTAACAGAATCCACTACGTTAATTGTTGAAAAGATGCCTCATGTATGCAAAAGCATGGACAGCCATGACGGTGCAGGAAACCTTTCTGAACAGGGTGATGGTGTCTGAGGAGAGGCTGTAGTCAGCCCACACCTCTTTCTCAGTGCAAATGGCCACAGGGACTGAGTCAACTCGTTTTGCAGCTGCAACGAGTTCCTGATAGCCGTGACTCTCCTCTCCCTGAGACACAAAAAGGGAAAGAGACAGTTACAGAGGGAGTTTTAACTTTATCTTACCTTATCATGTGCAGTTTTTTATTTTATCAATGATCTTGAGCTTGTTTTTCTTTCATAGTTGTAATTTTGATACAATTTCTTTCTTTTTTCTTAATATTTGTGGATTATTATACTTATATTTTACTTCTTGTACAACCTGCTTCTTATGCTGAAAAATATGTTGTGAGTAGGGTGACACATAAAAAATCCCAATGTAGGCAGGCACATAGAGAAGGGCGGGTGTGCTCATATGAATTGGCAGAAGTAGGAGGGAAGTGACTTCTGTAAGTATATTTACTCAGGTATTTGTACATTTCTATTGTGTGCTATTTTATATTTCTACTCCATTACATTTCAGACAGACATTTTACTCCACTACATCTACAGTAAATCTATTTAATTACATTACATTACAAATTTTGAATGCAGGAAATGTACTTGTAATGGAGTATTTGTACAGTCAGGTATTGCAAAAAAGGCTTTTTAATTATAGTAAAAGTTAGTAAAACCTTAACTCAATTTAATACAATTAAAAGATCTGAATGCATCTTGCCCTTAGGTAAATATTTATAATGTATTAGCCCATATTAATTTAAAGGATTTTTATTCTTATTGAAAATAAAAGGTGATGTTTACCTGTTAGAGGTTCACACTTTACAAAAGTAAAAGGGTCCAACCTCTTTTTAAAAAGTAAATAGTGTCACATTGACAGAACAAATCAAACTCTGTGATACAAAAGTTAAGTTCTATAATTTCTTGGCACATACATTTTTTCTAGACTTTTGTGTCCATGAAATATATAATTACTGTTTACACATGGACGTGGAATATGTTATATTATAAATGTGATATCTTACCTTGGAATTACAGGATATTTATCATTACCCTTTAAATGTTACTATCTCTATTAAAAAAAAACACACACCTAATAGTTTTATTGTTAACCATTCACATTTTGCACATAACAGTTAATCATTTTATACTTTTGGCATAGATCATTGTTATATCTGCAACTACTTTGCAACAATTTGCCTTGGAATAAATAAAGATCGATTTGATCAAATCTTTTTGAGTTGTCCCATTGATGCAGTGTTAGGCATAAAAGAGCACATTTCAGAGTGGGACAGACCCCCTCACAGACCACTAGTAGGTGTACTCTCCTGTTACCTGTTATTTCCTCAAAGAAAATTGAAGAAAGTGAAGAGGGCAGAGAGAGAGAGTCAGATAAACAAAATGAAATGTACCAGGAAGAGAGAGATGAGGCTGACTCAGAGGAAGGTGAATCATGTCTATTTCTGAGACACTGTTGCATGAGCTCTGGTGATCCGTTTTATCATTTTACAGCCTGTAATACGTGTTCGTTCCCAGTGAGTCACAGCACCAATATTTTGGTCTCTTTTTGCCTTCAGCATCACGGTCCAACTATCCTCATGTGCTCTCCACCTCTCTCTTCCACTCTCCTCTCATGAACCTTCTCCCTGTTTGCACTTGTTTACAAGTGGGTCAATGAAGCCAATCCCACAAGTCTTCAGATACATATGTATTTCCTGTCAAGTGGCCCGCCATCTTCCCCCGCACACAGAGTCTGGCCAAAGGGCTCGCCTCTGTGGGACAGCCAGCCACCCTCTGCCCTCACAGCACCAGCGCTGCCAAAGGTGTGGCCACAGGAAATACATTCTTCTTCATCACCGAGACCAGGATGCAAACAAATGCTGTATTTTTGGAGCCCGCACAGTCTCACTCTTTAGCTAATTTGTCTGATCATGTCTGGTTTGCCGCATGCATGTTAGCATAATAAACTAAGCCATAAAACTGCCCCTGTGGGCTTGTTTTAAAGATGTCTGAAAGCTCATTTGAGCCTGTGGTTCAGACTGTTTTGTTATTTTTATATATGCAATTTTCTTCTCTGACCTCCAGAAATCCGATGACCACCACTTCTGCAGAGTCGATGAAGGCCTCAGCAGCTTTGGTGTCAGTCAGCCTGGGAAGAGCATTGTCTGCGAAATAAACACAGGAAATACACAAGACACACAATTCAACATAGTTTGTACCTTACAGAGTCTACAGCCACGCTAGCCGCTCTGCTGCAGGCTAAATGCTAATGTCGGCATGCTATCATCCTTTAAATGAAAACTTTTAGCAGGTGTGATGTGTACCACGTTCACTATCTTAGTTTAGCGTGTTAGCATGCTATCATTTGGAAATTAGCACTAAATACAAAGTACAGCTGAATGTCATTAGTTTTGCAGGTATTTGATCATAAAATTATTGGAAACATTTAAATGTTGACATGATGACAGCACTTGAGGAAATGTTAAGTGATCACCAAAGGAGTTACAGTTTATTCTGAAGGGGGATGAATGTACCACATTTAATGGCAATCTATCCAACAACCAAAAATGTGAACGTCTGGTGGCACTGAAGGAAAAGTCAGGTTGGATTCATTGTCTGGGAATCATAAACATCAGTATTTTGATATTTAAGTGTCTGTTTAAGACATGTTTGATGGCAATCCACCAATAATTACCTTTTAATAATAACAAAAATGTCAACTTTATGGTGGTACTAGAAAAGTAATTAAAATAAAATAATTAATTATTTGGGAACTATTACGTAATGTCCAAATAGACAAAATTGTACAAAATTTCAAAGCAAGTGAAAGTGGTGAAAGACTGACAGTTGCAACACTTTGATTAAAATGTAATTATAAATTATATAATGTTTGACTTTCCACACTGAAAGCAGAGAGAAGAACTTGAGAATAAAACCAAAACGACTTAGTTTACTTAAATCAATTTACCTTTCTCTGTGGCAATGACAGAAGACACCAGGAGGGAGAAAAACAGAGTGATCAGCATGTTTCAAATGATTCAACTGACAGGGAGGCAGGTAAAGAAGACAAACCAAAAAATATCCAGAAGACTTTGTAGCTGTTTGATTCTGAACGAAGAGTCGTGTCACCTCTGGCGCTGTCTCTGACGGTCGCCACATGGCAACCGGCTGTGACTCCTGCAACTTCTCTGGGATGTGATTGGAGGCTTTATGGGAACCAGCCAGGTGTTATTGATAAGTGGTGCTGCTGGGAAGTTGGACTACGTGTCACTGCAACAGGGGACAGGTAGAGAGTATGTGTCTGCACTAAGGTAGAGATAATGATACAATGAATCCAGTGGACCTTTGTGTTTGTGAAACATCACCTTTTCTTGTGTCTTATATTGTCCTAATAGTAGCACCTTCTTAACAACTTTACTCTCAAAGTGTGTGTTACATAAAGTTTTTGTGGGTGGGAGGCTCTACTGACGTAGACTCATGCTTTAAAGCTGCAGGTAACTTTTATAAAACTAACTTTTTGTCATATTTGCTGAAACTTTCACTATATCCTGACAGTTGTACATGAGACAGATATCAAATACTGACGCTTTGGGTTGGGGGGCTTGAAGATAATTCATTGTTGAGTCTTATTTCCAGGTCACAAAACGACAACGTGAGAATGAGACTCAAAAATCAACTATTTTTCTCGACTGGGTTTGTTTTCATTAAGACAGGTGAATTATTGCAAATGCCATAGGAGGAGCCAGAGGAACCTGATTTGTTTTCAGATTATCTTTATCATGTACTTCTGTCAGGATATAGTGAAAGTTTCATCAAATATGACAAAAAGGTTTTCTTTATATAAATTGCCTCCTGCAGCTTTAATCCCCAGGCAGGCTGCAAATAGTGAGGAGGCCTGTGTGACCAGTGAAAGACCAGAGATTAACTGGGCTGCATTTTGGTAAATTCACCACAGGAGGGACACAACTTCCATCCATTCATCGCCATGCAGACACACTGTGAAGAAACCTTTGCCTTACAGCAGGAAATGGAGTTTGGAGTTTGGTATTTGGAGACGCATCTATTGTCTCTAAATCTATTTTTTGTGTTTTAACAAAAAACCAAGTTGAAAGATGTTATTACTTTATTTTTCTTCTTTTTGATATATTTTTGACATTTTACCTTTGTTTTTAAAGATATTTTTATCTTTTAAAGAGTACTTTAAAAAAGTGCAATTAAAACTGATTTATAATTATTTATTAGTGTTAAAATCACAGGTTCATATTCAATGATTGTAAAACAAGATATCTGAAGAATTCTCAAAAAAAAAAGATTTGATCAGATCACCTGAATAAGAATTAAATCATAAACAAGGCCACATAAAGTCATTTCAGTCCCAGAAATAAAAGCATCTGATATGACATTACATTGTTTGTGGAAATGCTGCGAAAAACTTATCAAAATGC